CGCAGACTCTCTGCACGGGCAGCCGGCCCCATTTTGCACAGGGCAGCAGGTCATCACCCCAACCTGCTCTTGTGAACCATCCGACGTCAGGGGTCCCGTGCCCGTGTTCCCAGCGGGGGAAGGGCACTGCCGGGGGGACCGGCACGCAGGGCGGGAGGACAAGAACACACTCACAAAGGCGTTGCTGCTAGGCTGCTGCAAGACCATGAAACCACGGGGGCCCTGCCCTGCCGCAGGAGGAAAACACCCCCATGCAGGGAGCCCATCTCCGACCTGCTGCACTGCTCAAGCCCCCAGAGCCCACCCGCTGAACGGCCACAGGGTGCGTGACTGTGGCACGTAACCCCTCGGTGCCTGGTGCACAGCCGGGGAACAAAGGCGTTGCTGCTAGGCTGCTGCAAGACCATGAAACCACGGGGGCCCTGCCCTGCCGCAGGAGGAAAACACCCCCATGCAGGGAGCCCATCTCCGACCTGCTGCACTGCTCAAGCCCCCAGAGCCCACCCGCTGAACGGCCACAGGGTGCGTGACTGTGGCACGTAACCCCTCGGTGCCTGGTGCACAGCCGGGGACGGAACACGGCAACAGGAGCCGCTCCGCATCACAGGCGTTACCGCCATGCCCTGGCGGCATTCGCTCGGGGGGCAGCAGACAATTGCATCCCTCCTGCCCCATTCCAGGCCGCCACCACGAACCTGAATCATCCGTCTCGTCCGCTGCAGCATCACTGGAGGACACGGCGACTGGCGGCTCTTTGAGCCCTGCTCGGATTTGAGCCTAAGAGGATTCAAAAAACCAAAAAAAGAGAAAGCTCAGAATTTCCACGGATTCACTGCAGGCGACAGCGCAACCGGGGACACCCGGCCGTATGAACACGCCACCGAAAGCCAGGCCACCAGGACGCCGGATGCTAAACTCCATGTCCCCTGTGGGGAGAGGACTGGAGGACAAGCTGCCTGTGCCGTTGCAAGGGACAGTTAAATGTCCCACTGGGTTTAGACGTGCCCTGGAATTAGGAGACTAATCTCACCTTTGCCTTTGGGCCGCTGTCTTCGGAGAGTCCCTCCACTTCCGACTTGGTCCCCCTCCCCCCCAGCAATCAATAAAAATGGGGTTGATATGGACCATTGAAGGAGTTGGGAAGTTTAATTCAGCCTTCATCCGAGGCCCTTCAAGTTTGAAAAGTATTTTGAGGTCCCGGAAGGAAAGCCCGAGGGACGTGCAGGCAAGAGGAGGAATCCCAGGGAAGGAGGACTCGTCCCGGCTTCCCACACGCAGGAGACCCCCAGTCCCCACAGAGGTTTTCAATGCGGACAAAAGAAAATACTGCCAGCCCCACGAGCTGCAGGAAAGGGGGAGAGGGGACACTCCTGAAACTTTCAGCAACCGGACACAACGCCAGACCCCACAGAAACAATCCCGACAGGGCCCAAGGGGAATGGATCTCAGACACCCTGTCCCAAGAGCGTGATGCAGAGAGAAAGGCTCTTCGGTTGGGAGCCTGGGACCCTTCCCACCGGCAGGCATGGAGATAAGCGGGGAACCTTACGAACACTCTCCCACCTCACTCCACTGATGCTGGCGTGAGCCAGCGTTTGGTTCGTCAAGCGTCCTTTCAACCCCCCCGCCTCCTCAGAACTGCCTCCACGGTCACACGGACATTTCTAACTGGACGACCCTTCCAGCTGGGAAAAAACTCCTGCGCTGGGATAGGCTGGATGGGATCTCAGCAGGCCTTCCCAGGTCAGCTGTCTAGGCCTTCAGCTGGAACAGGGATTCCATGATCAACGAGTAAGCGACTCTCAACCCAGGAGCTGTCTGACGCCTCTGTTCCATGTTTATAACCAGTGAACTGCAGTCGCTCTCCCTCCCCACCCCCGCCTTCCCGCCATAAAGCGCTTAGTGAAGCACAGAACTGGAGAGATGGGTCGTGTGGTTACACCAGTACAGCGCCCTGCAGGTCTGATACGCACTAGTGCCAGATTTGGCCCAGTCTTCAGAAGCAACGAGAGCGAGAGAGACAGAGACAGAGACAGAACACACCCAGTCTTCAGAAGCAACGAGAGAGACAGAGACAGAGACAGAGACAGAACACGAGTCTTACCTCCTCTGCTGCTTTCTTCCAGTCCATGCGCAAGACGAAGGCCAAGAAGGAGAGGGCTTGCAGGAATATGCAGACGACCATCCCCACCCACAGGCCTAGATCAAAGGGAAACCTGGCTCAGTTGTCTGAAGACCCTGGGTGAAGCCCTGGCCCCAGTGAACATAAGAACGGCCACACTGGGTCAGACCAAAGGTCCGGTTAGCCCAGTGGCCAATACCAGGTGCCCCAGAGTATAGTCAGTGGTAGCTTCCAGAGACTTGACTGGGAACTGGCACTTTGCTCCACGTGTCTCACTGGTTCCCTCAACTTCAGGCCTGCCCCCGAGACGTCCAGACATGCACAAGCTGGAGTCCAGACCAGTATCAGGGACTCCCAGTAGTAACCCTGGAAGACCTTCTTAGGTTAGCTGGATCCGCAGCTTTGGGCATCTTTCAGCACAGGACCGACAGTGCGAGTTGTGTTCCTGGTCTGCTGGATTAGCGCCGCAAAGCTTTCTAGTCAGCACACGTGCTACTCGCCGACTTCGGAGCCCAGGGCCCGATTGCTGACAGCAATGGAGAACGTGGCTCCGTGTCCAGGCCTTTAAAACCACTGGACCCAGACGCGAGGCAAGTGCAGGCGTCCGAGGGAGGCTTCCGTCCCTGGGAGGCCCTTGCGGAAGGCAGATGCGTATCCAAGCCCAAGTCCCTCGGCAGGCCTTCGAACTGAACTGTGGGCCTTGCCGAATCGAGGCCCTGGGGAGGCTGAACCGGGGAGCCGCGTGTCCAGCTAAAGGAACCGCTACAGACGTCGGCGGGCACAGGGCCGAGCCCCACGTGGGAGTGACAGTCGACGGCACCCGTCAGGCTATTCAGCCCCCGCTGCGCTGGGCGCCAGCCGCACACGTACCCAGCACCCCGAGTTTGGCGGCGAACATGAGGGAGATGCCGATGGGGAAGCCGATGACGTAATACCCAATAGCGTTGGCGATGGCGCCGATCTTCTGCTTCCCGGTCCCTCTCAGCACGCCGCCACACGTTGCCTGCGGGAAATCGAACCAGCGTGTGTGAGGCACAGCCACGCTGCCCGGCCTGGGGGCCTGGGGGAGAGGGCAGCTTGGCCGCTCTTCATACGGCAACACTGCAGCGCCCCACAGGCCGGGAGGGGAGTAAGGCCAGTTTCCCGCCAACAAGGAGACTGGCGATTCCTCCATCGAAAGCAGCGGGTCAGCGCACGCACCAAGCTGCCCTCCGATACCAAGCGGGGTAGCAGCTGGCACGGCTGTCCTCGCAAGTGTGCGTGCAGCAGAGGGCACCCCGCTGAACCCACAGGGCGGGGAACTGGCGGGAGCAAAGAGATCTGAAAGGCCCACGCCACGGGCCACGCCGTGGTGCTATCGGGAGCTCGTGTGTGCTTAGCACCTCCCCTCCACGCCCCCGCAAAACAAAGCCAGCCCAAAGAGGAACCAGGGCACCTAGCGCTCGTCAGCCAACTTAGGCAACTCTGGCCCCAGATGTTCAGCCTTTAAGTGGCAGGAGCTGGTTGGAATGACAAGTGGCGGCCACAGGCACGAAGTTTAGAGCCCCGGGGTCCCCCAGGCGGCTGCTTTCAGAGGCAGGTGGCACTTTCCCCCTCTCGTGTTAGCAGACTGCAGCCAGCGCCAAGGCCCCGAGGCCGTGCAGGCAGTGCCACTCGAGAGCACGCCGCTTGGCGCACCAAGGTACTCACGGCTGTGGCATCCAGCAAGTGGAAGGGGGCAAATATCAGCAGCACCTTCGACACCAAGGTCACAATCTGCCTGTGGGGAGAAAGGGGCCTGTCAGTCTGGAGCGGGATAGGAACGGCCTGGTGGGGACGCAGGCTTCTAAGAGCGCCGCATCCAAAGCCCAGCGACAGTCGTGGGACTCTGTATCGCCTCTGGACCAGGCTGAGTTAGTGGCGCTAGCAGGGCCGTCTCGAAGGGGGCGCGGGGCTGGGGCAAACCCCCCCCACTGCAGACCCCTGCGCCGCCCCCTCCCCGAACCCCGCCTCCATTCTGCCCCTTTGCCCTCTCCCCTGAGCAACGGGGGCGGGGAGCCGGCGCAGCGGCAGCAGGGCTCACCCCCCTACCCCGCACTCACCATGTGGGCGGCGGGAGCCAGAGCCAGGCGGGTGGGAGCCAGAGCCAGCCGGCCGCCTGCTCCATCCCATCGTACCACCCTCTCCCAGCTTGCTGTGCTGTGCTGCTCCACGGCAGCAGGGTGCCCGGGCTGGCTGCCTCCTGCCACTGAGGAGAAGCCGAGTGCATCCGGGTGGAGCAGGCTACTGGGCTGCTCCGGCTCCTGCCATCCGTGTCAGGGGAGAGGGGAGAGATGACCCCTGCTGTCCCCGTGCCAGACCCCTGTAATCCCCCAGGTCCCCCGCATCCATAGGGCGGTTGGGGTGGTCGTCCCATTTTGTCCCAGGAACGGGCCGGCTCTGGGTGCGATTGCGTTTCCCCCTGGAATCCTGCTCCCCCATGACTTCCTGTGTTGGGGAGCTTCTTACAGTTACACGCCCCCTCCCCAACTGGCCGCGTCTCGGTCCGGACCTCACATGCCGCAGCGGGAAACCAGTTCCAGAAAAGCCCTTTAAAAAGTTAAACCATTGTCTTGGACGGTCTCAGATTACCCACTTGTCGCTGGTGAAGATGTAGCCCACTACGTCCTTCAGGGATCCCAGTAAGGTACCGACCACCACGGCACACGCCCCTGCAAGACGGTCAAGCAATTGGGGGTTTGATCACAAGCAGCATGGTCTTCGCTCCTGGCCTGCTGTTGGAGACCAAGATCTCGGGGCTGCTGGCAATGTTCCCCCTCATCTTTTCCATGTGTGGAATAAAACGTTATGTGCACCGAGGCATGTTCGAATGTGCACCACCCATAGAAACAAAAAAAATTGCTGTGGGCGCTCTGCTAACCAGCTGGGTGGCATTTAAATTTCCCCTGAGCAGCTGCATACTTTACAGGGAACGCTGCCTGCTGGTAACATGTTTGTTCACTGCTTAATGCGGCGGGGGCCGGATCTTGGTGGGGAACTCTGGGCGCTAGTGCAGTAAGCAATGTGAGAATGTGCTGAGTTAATTCCCCAGGGTACGTCTACACTACCCCCTAGTTCGAACTGGGGGGGGGGGGTAATGTAGTCATACGGAGTTGCAAATGAAGCCTGGGATTTGAATTTCCCGGGCTTCATTTGCATAAAGCCGGCCGGCGCCATTTTTAAATGCCGGCTAGGTCGGACCCCTGTGCCGCGCGGCTACACGCGGCACGGACTAGCTAGTTCGGATTAGGCTTCCTATCCGAACTAGCTGTACGCCCCCACAGATGCCTTCCCCACACGTCCTGGCGCAAGCGGTAGAGCGCTAAATCAGATGCTATTCAGCTACAGAAACCTTAATGTCAGACCTTCCCTAGAGGAGCTCAGCTAAGCCTGCTCTGAGGAGCTAATCATGGCAGCTTGTGGCCCCACCTTCACAAAGAAATTAAAAGCCAAAAGTGTGCTGGTCCCCATACCCAAGGAATGGGAGGGCTGTACTTCGACAGTGACATCCCCTTCCTTCCCCAGATCTCAAGCCACCATTCAAACTCCAATTAAAAAAAAGCCTAAAATTTAGGTTAGGCATTAGGAAAATCTTCCTGTCCGGGAAGTTCAGCATGAGCTGAAACCGCCTAGAGGAGCTGTGGAATTTGCAACACTGGAGGGGTGCAAGGACAGGTTTGAGACACACCCGTCAGCGATGGTCTATATTAATGGCCCTGCCCCTGCACGTGGGGCAGACTAAATGACCCATCAAGGTCTCTTGCAGCCCTATATTTCTTGGAGCCACAGCACCAGCCTGTACAGGTACAGTATCAGGTTTGAAAGAGACGAGAGACTGTAAATTCTTGGGGGAAGGGGGGATTTCCAAGTGCTTAGTATTTTGGTGCTGTCATTTAGGCTTTATTATTTAAAAAAAAAAACCCCACGCACCTGGCTGGGGCAGGATACAAAACCTAAGAAGGGCAGAAATGGTTTGAGGATCAAGATTTTCAAAAGAGCCGCACAACGGTGGAAGCCCCACCCCCATGAAAGCTCATACTGCGGCTTGTACATAATCGGCTGTCGGCTGACAGGCGCGCTGGACGATCCGCCTACCAAAGCCAAGGGAGGAGACAATTTTCTCCCCTCCTTCTTGGTTCATTTAAGACTTTCTCTTCTAAGCACAAGCCCTGTGCTACCGGGTTGGTCCCGGACATGGAAAGCGGCTGGGAAGAGACCTGTCTAGTTTAATCAGCTGCAACTTGAGATTCCACAAAGACACCAAAGAGGAGACGGAAATTCAGCTGCTCATTCGTAACAGCGCTTAGCAGGAAAGGAATGTGTCTCCCCTGGGTGCCGTCCCCTTAAGGGCCACCAAGAAACCATCGTTGCAGCAGGCACCGGATAGAATATGCTCACCCGTGCACAGCAGGGCTATGATACAGGACTTCTTCGCCCGCTCCGCCTCGCCGGCTCCCAAGGCGTTGCCAACTCGGACCGTGGCAGCCACGCTGAAGCCCAGTGGCACCTAAGCCCGAGGAAAGAGAAGGCCACGTGGCTGGGGTTAGGGGCTGCTCGCCCACGACTGTGACAGGACACCAGTGGCTGGTGGAGGCTGCAGGAACCCAGCTCTCCCTTTGCAGAAAGAATAGATACAAACCAGCAGCGCCTGCACCCTCCCGCCTGCCTCTCCCTACCATCTAAGAGCCTCCCCCGCCAGTCTATGCCTGACAAAGGGGGGGACGGGATGGGGGGAAGCACAACAGCATGCTGGAAATGCAGTAAGTCCTCACTGCTTTGGAGAAAACTTGCCAGCTGGGTTTGGCATCCATGAATGCTGGAGTCAGAGCAGAGAGAAGGGGCGTGTGAGAGGCAGGGGCTGCGCTAGCTTCTGCAACGCGCCACCTGCGAGTCCTGATGTGCCTGAGCGAGCCCCTGCCAGTCCTGGCAGCCCCCCACCACACGCCAGGGGTTCGCCAACACATCTCAGCCTCTGCAGGCAGCCACCCCGGCTCTGCCCGCCTTCTGCGCCCCACCATGGCGCTGCCAACCCTCCTCCGTCAGACAGTGCCCGCTGCTGTTCCATTCGTGGCCCCCTCCGGGGCTCTCGATGCCCAGCGTGTTGCAAGCATGAGCGCTTACCATGTAGGCTGCCGTGCACAGCTCGTAGATTACAGCCTGCGCTCCCAGCTCCACCACACTGATCAGACCTAGGAGAGAGGCCTGGTTTGTGTTTTGCAAATGAAGACATACCCTCATTCGGGGGGCTGTTGTCTGACAGGCACTCTGGAGCATCACCTACCAAACCCAAGAGAGGACGCCTGGGTGGAGTTGCCTCTAGGGACTTCTGAGTGCCTGCTCAGCCGCCTGGGACGGTCCCCCAAAACAGCATGATCAACGGGAGACCCCGCTAGGGCGAGGAAGGGAACAGGCACGCAGAGGGCTCTTTCACCTGCAAGAAAGCTCCCGATCTCAAAGGTCCACCACTCGATGCACATCATGAACATGCCGGGCACGGCCAGCCGAACGAAGGACCCCCACTCCTGGAGACACTCCCTGGTCCAGCCTGCAACAAGAAGCAGCAGCGTGGGACCAGGAAGACGGAGTCACTGCCTCTCTCGGTCCCTGCGGGGCCCTGGAGATGTTCTCTCCACGGGCAGTCGCTCAGCATGACCGAGGAAACCAGCCACGTGCCCCACTGTAGAAATCCATAGGCTCTGCTCCAGCCATTTCTACAGTCACGTGCGCTGGTGTAACGTGGTCGGAGGGACTGAATTCAGGGAGACCACCCCCCTACACACACACCAAGTACTGAGCAGCAGCCTCAGGGCAAGAGGTTGAAGGGGAAATCCTCTGGAAGCAGCGGACGTGTTTGCCCCGGAAGACAAAACCACCACGTGTGGCCTCCCAGGGCTCAGAAGCCCAAGCCATGGTCCCCCGGGATCAAACCAGTCACCCGGACCAGGACGGAGACATACGCTACCTCCCCAGGTCTGGACGTGGATTTTCTTCCACCACACGTACAGGAAGAGGAGAACCGCCTGGGTGTACTGGGAAATGGTGTTGGCCCAGGCTGAGCCCCTAGAGAGAGAGGGAATGGTTACAAAGAGCGGGTCTCCGTTCCGCTGGGGCTCTCTGTCCCGGGGTTCAGAGAACAGGACAAGCCGGAATTTCATCTAGGCAGCTGAGGCAAGGGAAGCTCGGGCACACAGCTCTGCTGACGCGCTAGCAGGGACATGCAGAAGCCACCGGCTGTTTCAACGGTCCCGTCCCAGCTGCAGCTTTTCCTGCCGCGCCCCCACGCTGAGCAACGGCCCCGGGCAGCCCATCGCTCAGCTAGCGAAGGCCCTCGCGTG